AATCTGCCTTGGGCTGGAACAAGGGGTGCCGGGGAGGAGGCATGCCGTTGCTGCTGTGTTTCAGCCCACCCGTGCCCTAAGATCGCGTTTAGAAGCCGCAGAAAGCTGGATGAGCAAGAAGTCGGTGGGCTGGGCGGTGGGAGAGCCCTGCTGCTGCTCCCCCGGGACAGCCGTGTCAGCGCTTGCTGTATCTCCCGGCCTGGTGGCCCTAAACCCCGTGGGAGGATGTCGGGGTGCTCGGGCCTGGGTTTGCCAAGGGGTCGGCACCCTTGGCACGGCTGGTGGCAATGGGGAAGCTGGCCCGATGAGGCTGGGGCCACGTCCCGCTGTTCACCAGTGCTTTTCCATCTGAAGTTCTGAAATAAGTCAGTCCTGGGCTCCTTTCTTCATTTGCTGGTTGCATTAATGCATTTTAGGTGGTGTCTGTTGTTGTTTTTGCTGTGCCCGAGATGGTTGTGTTGATGCTCTTTGGCATCTCAGGAAAAAGCTGGGGCTTTCCAGCAGAAATGGGCAGATCTGGAAGACTTTAGGCACTTTATGAACATGGTCTAAGAGTATTGGTAGGATGTTTATGTTAAAATTAACAGAAACAGTTGACTGTGTTGACATTTAAAATATCAACTTTGGATTTCAAACAGTCTGTTGGAATGAATAAAGTAGGATGCACGACCAGTCGTGGATTTGGGAATAGCAGCTCTGCCGCCTGAGCTCCCAGGCCAGCTCCCTGGCTACTACCGTATTCCATATTAACATATGAACAGTTGATCGGCTGGTTTTCAACTACTGATGTATTTTGTACAGTCTGGAGTCGTCTCTGCCATACCTGCAGCAGCCAAAGGGCAGATGAGTGCTTGGGCACATTTAACCTGAGCTGTAGCCAAGGTAGTCAGCTGCATAAAACTAAGTTAATTTAAGAGGTTGGTGAAGGTGTAAGAGGAAAAACTCACAAACTACAGAAGATAAGGATGAGAGGCGTTTCTCCTTCATGAAATGTTTTCTCAGATGATTGTTGCTATCTTTAAAAGAGATCTCAGTGAAAAACATAGGTTTGAATTAAGAGTCAGTTGATAATTCTTCTCTGACATGTCCGGTGGATGGTCAAACCTGTAAGAAGGACGGCTGTACAGGGACACTAAAAGTCTTGTAGCGATGCTCTCAAACAACTGCGACATCTCTTGAGGAAAAAGGAGAATAAAAAATCAACTTTAAAAAGTTATCTGTCTGATATTACTGGTAGTAGCTTTTGTAATTAAAATAGATATCTTGAAAAAACCCATTCACGTACTTATTTTCTTCATTTTTCTCTGGGCTCTTTAAAATATCGAGCTCAATTTCAATTTTTAGAGTATTCAGTTGTTGGTAAACTTCACTTATAAGGTTTTGGCACTGCAGTATAGCTAGAATGTTATCACTCTAGCTAAATTCATGTTATTTTAAATAATTTCTGAGCATATGTGTGTGTGTGTACGTTCCCGACATGTTCAGTCTGTTATTTTGCCTTTCAGAGCCCCTGTATTTATATAATTTATTTCATTTTTACTGGGAATATCACTGTGGGTCTTAGGTAAAAAAAGTGAAAATCCTTTTTCAAAACTAAAGCTAAATTGTGAAGCAATCTCATCTCACCTGATAAAGTTTCTTTAACAATCTGAGTTAGGCAAGGAGGCAGGAGAGGTGATGAAGGGAAGACTGTTTTGGCCAGTATCCTTGGACAAACTGCAGTCTTTCTAAAAGAAATAAAAGCAAAATGTAGGGGGCAGGTTTTATTTCAAACTTTTTTAGAGGCCAGTGTAATTAAATTTGTCCATTAGCTGATTTTCACCAAAGTTTCCCATGTGTGTCAGGAGAACTCTTTTGGATACGATACATGTCCTTCAAAGTCTTTGTGGTCTTTCAGGAAAAAAAACCAACACAAAATATCTGAGTCTAGCTATTTCAACAGAAGTGAAAAGTAAGCTTACATGTCTTGTTTTCAGTCTGTTTCGCTCTAGTAGTCATTAAACTTTGTCTGGTGAAAGATGACGTTTTTCAGTTGCCCTGCAAGCCTGTGGTCGTTCCCCCGCCCATGTCCTGCACCCTTACAGTCTCGGGATGTCCCATCTGCCATTTTTCTACCCTTCCTTTGATACGTCTTTCCGCTTCCCTTCCCCTTCTGCTGGAGGCATGCAATCCTTTGGAAAAAGACGTTATTTGAGGTTCTCCTGAGATCCTGCTTCCTCGCAGACTGCACTTCTCTGAGGTTATCCCTCTGGTCAGGGAGGGAGAGGTGGAAGTCCTCTGTGGTGTCCAGATCTTGCCATGGGCTGGAAGGTCTGTGGGGCAGTGAGGGACAGTGCTTGGTGCCCTCAGCACCTGCAAGCACTGTCTGCTTCCAGCAGCGTGCTGCGAACAGAACCCTCACGAGCACCCTTACACCGGTTTGAGGGGAAGTCTTGGCGTGTGCTTTGCAGTTTTGCAGTGAAAGGGAAAATTCAGTCCCAGGGGAAAAAAACATCAGTTCTTGCAAATGCAGCAACTGTGGTGCTTTTCCCATTGGAGGAGCGAGTGGTGCACCGAGCAAACTTCACTTTGCTGCCTCGAGGGGCTGACAACTCATCCGGGAGCAGGCATTCCTACTGCTGTGCTTGGCCGGGCTGGGAGCAGGTTAATCACTCGCCTTTGCTGCTTCCCCATCGCCTCCTCCATGCCGTAGCAAATTGCCAGGTGCTGAGATTTAGTAGATCAATTGTCCCGTATTAAAAAGAGAGAAAAACAAACCCACCAGGGACCTCCACATTGTGCATCCTCTCTACGCGTTATAAATATACTTAGTGTTCCCTTTTCCAATTGACTGGGTCCCTCGCAGAGGAGCCAGCCTCGGGGGCCTGCAGAGTTTTCACATCTCTAACAAAGCACTGAAGGACAGGAAAGGACAACAGGCGCTGGATGCCGACTGTTCTGCGCCAGCGCCCTCCTTACTGCAATTATAGTTCTGTTAGGAACCTCCACCTTATTTAAAGAGACATTGTCAACTGCCTCACAGCTCCTTTTTGTAAAAGCCTTACAAAGGCATTGAGACATTTTCTTAATGACGTGAAGAAAAATATTATAAAGAGCCCTGATAAAGCAGAGATGCTTCTCCTCTTTTAGGGTCTTGTATCTAATGAATTGAAACTACTAGGTAAACTTCAATCAGTTAACCTCTGTAGTCTCTTTAGGCGAAATTATCGGTGCTGTTTCCAGATGAGGGGAGTGAGACAAGAGGATGCGAGTGATCTGACCAAGGTTGTTCAGCGAGTTTGTTGCAGAGCACAGCTCTGGGTTCCTAGATGATAAAGGAGGCTCTGAAATTATCTGGCTTCATAACATAAACCAATATTTGATGGTCAGTAATAGGAGGAAATGTTCCCCAGAGGCATCACGGTGTGCTGCTGTGTGGTCCCTTCTCTACGACATGCTCAAGTGCATCCGATGTCAGATCCAAGATCTGAGGCTGGATGGCTTCCTGATCTTGGCTGCTCTGATGAGCTGTGCTTATCAGTGTACCGTCATAAAAGACTGCTCGAGGACATGGAAAAGGACTTTGCAGCGAAACTCCAGGCTCACTGCCCCTCACTTCAAAGACTGCTGATTATCAGGAACCCCCTAAATACTTCTGTGATGTGTGTGTGTCTGTTTGCCTGTCACTAATGTCGATATGTGAGCGGTTGGACTGAGTGTGTTAAAACTTGATTGAGCCTCCTTACTAGTGACTTTGGTCAGCTCAAGTTTTCCTTGCATTTAATCATCATTCTCAAATTTTATTTCTGTGTTTATGGGCAGGTATACCATTCTTCCAGGATTGCTGCCATGGTACTTAAGGTCTTCTTTCCATCATGCTGCTCCTCAGCAGAAAGTGGCATTTTGATCGGCTGCTGGATCTCAAAACAGAGCTCTGCTGTTATCCTTGCCGTCGTCCATTTCCCTTTTATTCCTGTCCAGGTGAAGCAGTATCTCAGTGAAGTCCAACGGGTGACTAAAGTCAGTGTTTCTGTGCTTGGCACATGGAGCAACAGCAAACAGGAGAAAGAAGAGAGTCTGAGTGAGTTCTTGGAAGACCTTGGGACAATATTCTCTCATGAGCCATGGATTCAGATAAGCAAAGAGGGAGACAGCAAATTTTGGAGCTGTTCTGCCCTTAGGAAACACTCCAACAACCTTAAGGAGGAAGAAATAATCTTAGTATACTATGACCAGCGCAAAGTCATGCTTTCCCATCTACATCCCCCTCTGGACACAGCTACCTCCACTGACCAGGAGGCAGACGATGCTTTAAAGCTCTCTGCCATCTTTGACACAGTTGCGAAGAGCAAGATACTGTTCATGACGGACAGATATGATGATGGGCCCATCAAATTGACCCACTGGCAGTCGGATGGAAATATCTCCGGGGTCTGCAGGAGCAGGTAAGTGATGTGCCATCAGTCAGCTTATGTTTTGCATGGAAATGTAATTCATGTTTAGCCATTTGCAGGGTTCCTGCTTAACCCCATTGAGAAACACAGTTGATACAAAATCTTTCTGTTGAAAACAGGCTGCCGCAGAGCTGCTGTTAAAGTTTGGGGAGCTGCATTGAGAACACAAGGCCAAAGGCTCCTGCAGGTATAGCAGACCTCTGAAAGGAGCTGGGAGGTTTTCTGGGGAGGCACTGATCTCCTCCCCAGCTGCAGCAGGGTTAGCTCAGCCCCACTTCAGTTTCATTAGAACTGAAGCATTAGGTTTCCAGCTATTCCATGGCTGACGGAGGGACATGAGGATCTCCTTAGTGGCTCGATAGCTAGGACTCCCTACTCCCAGTTTGCTATGAATCCCTCTGCGGCTGTGAAACAACAGCAAATAGTGCGTCTAAATCCGTCATCTCTCTAAGTCAGTGGTGCTGCAACCTTGGGACCTTAAAGCAGGTTACAGGGAATGGTGGTCTGCATGAATTGCTAGTGAAATCTCATTGTAACAACCATGACACTGAATAGATGCTTCCAGTGTAACATGTGCCAGGTGCTTGCACTGAAGAGGAATTCTGAGCAGATTTGAAGGAGAGAAGCTTTTGCATGTAAAGCTTGGTAGCACATCTGGTCATCCTGCCTAGTGAGATTATGCCAGAGAGGGAAGTGGAGTTCAGGTTCCACACTGCAAAGGGACACTTTGATTGATGAAATTTGGATAACAGCTACTATTGTATTCATGGATAAATCTTCTCAAGTGCAGCCTAAGGGTATGGGGAATGGAGTCTTGTAACAGGTTTCCAGTTGTATGATACTGTCGTGAAAAATTACAGTGAAATTCTTCATATGCAAAGATTTTCTGAACACTTGGATTACACCTTTTGGTACGCAAAGGGAAAACTATCCCGTTTTTGACTCCTCTGTTGGACGAGATTTAGGATCAAACCCAAACCTGGTATAATCAGGGTCCGCTGGTTTCTTGGACTGCTCTGTAGGCACTGACTGTGCATAAATGGTTGTTAACGGTAATTAAGTCAGAACTCAGTGGTTGGGTAGAAGATTGGGAGTTAACTCTGAAGGTCCTTTTTCTGGCTATCCCTGGACTGTGTGTGACTGCCAACAAACAGAACGATCCTTTTCTGCCTAGGCACTTGGTCTTAAGGTCAGATTTGCCCACCTTCATCAGTGCTAGGACTCCGAAAAGGCTTAGAGTCAGGTTCAGCCCAAGTCTCACAGATCTCCAGAAGGCCACAGTCTAAGCCTAACTTGGAAGCTCGAGCTGAGTCTGGCAGGTTGGGCACAGATAGCTGCTACCTGGCTTATCAGCAGCTATATTCTGACTTACTCTATTCCTAAGCCCAGTACAGACGTTTTAAGCCAGAGCAGCAGCCAGGCTGGCATCCAGCTGTACGTACCAGCAGGCGGAATGTGAGGTTTGCTGTGCATAAACCCGGGCTGAACTTGTTCTTAACCTTGGGAGGTAGATACAGGTTTCTTTCTGCTTTGTTTTATTTACCCGTAGTATCAGCATGATATTTACTTATCTTACAGGTGTTTTAAAACATCAGTCTTAGAGAATAGAAGTTAGTACCTGGCTTTATGACAAACCTCCTGCTTGACCTTCTAAGTCATTTAATGTAATTTAGTTCAGTTTACCACGTGATGTGGTACAACGTCCTTTGTGCCAACACACACAGGGCAGGGAGGGTTCAAGGACATTAAGTGCAGATGCCCTTCCAATCCCCTCCTCCCTGTGTTGGGATAGGATGTCCCATAAGAGAAGTTCTACCAGGTTTCTGCTTCTTCTGGTCACAGGACTGCTTTCTTTCCCAGGTTTTTGTGATATTCAGGGATAGTCAGCTTTGAAAAGCTAAAGAGAGAGATCAGTCATGTCCTCTCAGGCTGCGGAGGCTTGGGGCCTCACCTGGCAGTGAGCACTGACATCCATCCAAGCTTACCAAGCGCTCTCAAGTCCTGTACGTCTCGAATTAAGGCATTGCTTCAGCACCACCTTGTGCTACGGGGTGGCCATTGCAATGTATCCTTCAGAGGGACTTGTCTGTAGGATTTCCGTTACCGCTGAAGGTCTCCAGTGCACTGCTGGGGACATCGGAGTGATTTAGTATTGAGGCAATAAACTCTCTGTGCTCCTTTTAAAAAAAGTCCATTTACAAACACCATGACCTCTGATTCCTCATCCAGAAGGGAAGGGTTGTTCCTAGAGTTTCTAGCAAGGAGAAAAAAGACAGGCAGGCGTGTTGGTTAACGGAGCTTTAATATTTGCATGTGATCCAGATTTGGAAAGGTTGCTTTTCATCTGATATCTGAAAAATCCACTCTCTGAATTGGAAAATCAAGATTTGCTCATGCAGGATGTGTTAATTTCTTGCTAAAATTCCTTATATTTGGAAATACCCTGAAGATGTCCTGCTGCTTAAATAATGCAGTGACACAGCACCACTGTTTTTTGTGGGTTTTTTTTTTTTAATTTGGTTGGTTTTCCATTGTGCTTCTGAAAATCATGCTATATACTGTGTGGTAAACAAGTGGCAGCATTTTTGGCAATGCATAGTTGGTATGCATAGGGGTAGAAGACGACGCAAGAAATATTTTTGGCTTTCTTCCTCAGTACTCCTAGAGATGAGAGTTACCATAGCCCATCTTGCAACTATTCTATTGAGCTTTTTGCAATGTGTTTGTATTTTTGTTTAAAGAAGTAAGGATATGTATTTACTTTCCGAAGAAAGTATACAAGAGGAATATAGGTTGTCCTCCTGATGTTAAGTGAAAAGAAAAGAGAGTCAGTTGTAGTACAAACAAGCACAGACCTCTGACGTGTCTTTTGGGCCCATCTTGTTCAATCAAGGAGATGCGTTTACCCGTTGCAGGCTCCAGTGGGTGCACATGTTGGGGGGTGCTCCTGGGGGAGAGGCTGCTTTGGAAATCATTCTCGCTTGTGCAAGACGTTCCCCGGGCAGAAGAGAGCAGCAGACTGTCCTTTCCTTGGACCAGGGGTGTCTGATGGGTGGGTGACTCACAAGCTAGCTGCCTCCAGCTTGGGGAGCTGTGGAGCAGCAACGGAAGGTTGCTTGGAGAGGATGGTGAGATCGTCAGTGTTTAGCACAGGGCCTCAGAGCCGTTGCGTTCTGCTTGAACTGAGGTGGTCTGGCAGCTGTTGGCTTGATCAGTATTTTTTCACTTTCAGTCATCTGTACATAGCCACACAGGTAGAACATTTCTCCTTCCCCCTTCTTTGCATTTCAAGTGCAATTCTCTGCTCTAGCAAAGGTTTGCCACACCAGGATTTGTAACCACTGGGCTGGGCTGTAATTGGAAGAGAAAAGTCATCTGTACTTGTGCCTTGGTGAATCTGCGAGCCCAGGTCTCTGAGATCAGTGGCCAGTGCAGTCGTGCCCCGTGCCTCCCTCCCCTGCACGGTGCGCTTTCCTCCGCCACTTTAGATATCACCTCCTGACAAGTCAGCTGAAGAGCAATGCGTTCATTTGTCTTCAAGGTGGGAGGCTGTAACGAAGAGCTGAGTAACTCGGAGGCCTCAAATTAAGAAGAATGATTCACAGTACACTGCATGTATTTCAAAACCAATGTGTCTGAAATTTGAATGGGGAGGGAGAAGGGGGGACTTCAGCACTCTGTATTTTAAGCTGACAAACCTTGCGCGAAGGGTGGTTGAAAGGGCTCAGGGGGATGGGGGGAGGAAGGGAATAGCAATCACAGTGAACCGAGCAGGATTTTGAAGGAGCCATACCCTGGTGATTTGTGTAGAATGTATAAGTAGCAGCCCCAGTCTGCCCATCCAGCTTTTTATTCTGGCTAGTCCTGAAGGCACTCTGCTGCTGGCCGACAGGCTGAAGTCCTCCAGATGCAGCCCGGGGAAGGCGTGCACGCATGGCAGGGACGTCCCCAGGCCACGCTCACTAATGATTCAAACAGCTGGGCAATTTCAAAAGCGAAGCAGGATACCAGGAATAATTTTGGCTTTTGGAATGAATGTGAACTGAAGGAACACACCAAAGTGGTAAGAGAGAGTAAATGAAGGAAGTGACTAAAAGTGAACACAGATTCCTGGACCCTTAATAAGAAACAGTGAAACACTGAAAATGGTGGAACAACTGTTGTGTACAGGGAAGAAGTGATCAAAATTATGTCCACATCAGTATTTATTCCCCACAGCAGACATGGTGCTTTGTGTTGCTGTACCACTACTGCGCATTCTTTGGCTGGCCTGCATCCAGTGGTGTCATTTAAATCTACACAAATCACCATCGTTCCTTTCTTTATAGGTTAAGTGGTAATAGAAGTAACTCCCCAAAATAATTGAGCATCATTTAGTACTTTTCTTCTGAGTCTTAAAAAAAGAACCGTGTATTTCCTCCCCTACAAGCCTAATGTGGATTGAAACCTAATTAGATGCTAAATGTCATGTTATCTATGTAATGCTGGTCACCCTTGGCAAGGCAGTGGAGAGATATAGAAATGAGAAAGGAATTAGAAAGTAATGAAAAAAAAAAGGAAAGGCTTAAGTGAAAGAGAAAGAAAAGAGGGAAAAAGGGACAGAAACTGTAGGGAGAAAACAGCTGTTTGTTATACCAAGCTCACAGTAGACAGAGACTTGGGGTTAGTAATACTGGGATTTGTGAAGCAGTTGCACCATGTTGTGTTGTTGCGCCGTCCACACGACTGCCTTGACCCTAGCCTCCTGGAGACTCGGAATGGTGTGCAATCCCAAAGCACAGGGTGGAGTCAGGATTGTGTTCTGGCTTCCTTGGAAGAGCGAGGCACTTGGTTTTACAGAATGGAAATGAGAGATTGGGTTGTCTCCTTAAGATGTCTTGATCTGGAAAGGCTGTCTTAATTCTGTTAACCTTCAAGAGAGTAGTTAACATCGAATACTCTTTGATAATAGTATGTTGACATCGTCTCTGGTTGCACAACCTTAACTTTACTCTGAATGTTTTGCATGGAGTTTGTACACTGTACAGCTTCGTACATGGCAAAAGCAAAAGGGTACATTGCCATGGTGTTTCTGCAGGGTGCTGAAGTTTTGGCCTTTGTCATTCTTATGGAGCAAACTCTCAACTTGTGAGCAGCTGGGACACCGCCTGCAGCACCTCCAGGTTATCAGCAGCAGCCAGAAGGCTCAAAACCAGACTCAACTAATGAGGTATGGAATACACAGAGTGTCACGCATGTCTTTGCTCTAGCCCTGTCTCCTCTGGGGAACCCAAACCATGGATCCTGTGCCTGCACAGCACTAAGGGGTCCCACTGCGCCGTGTCATGTTGCCTTGCTTGCTCTGCTCCCTGCTAGTTTGCAGATCTTTACTCTGCACTCTGTTTGTATTAATTATGCCTGTTGCTAGATACATGCCTTTTTCCCTAGCCTGGGAAAGGCTACTAGGATATTGCCCACAGAAAGCTTGTACTCCACCCATTTGTGTAGTGCTTTGCTGTCACTACTCCCACAGGCTCGTTGCTTTCACATATGCTGCTGTTAACCAAAAACTGCAATCAGTATTCAGTGGCACTTTCCATAAAAGCAGAACAGTTTAAATGCTCCCCTCTTTCACCCACTCTTTTGGGGAATTTTTCTTTCAGTAACTGCAGACCAGAGACTCCAAAAGCGGTAACAAAGTCAGTGTAACAGAAAAGCAAACATGCAGCACAGTGAGTGGAACAGGGAGAGGCAGAGATCTGAGACAGATATTGAATGCCCTATGGCCATTAAGCAGCAAGTGTTGTTCTGTGTGATTTTCTGATCCTGCAGTAATAGACTCCCAGGGAACACTTAAAATAGATTAGCAGATTTGAAGGCCAAAAGTAACTGTGATTGTTTAATCTGATTTCCCAAATAACTCACGTCATGGAATTTCATTCAGAAACTCTAGCAGTGAGGGGACAGTTCAGGAGACCTTCTGGGTATGTTTATGCACCCAGAAACACTATTTATTGCATTGACTACTAATTCAACTAAAGTCTGTCGCTTGGAAAGCCATCTGATCTCGATGTGGATATTCCAGATGCTGATGCCCCTAGTATTGGTAAAATCCTCCTGAGTATATATATACACACACTTTGTCTAACATTCCTCTTTGTAGCTTCAATCCCACTCTCTACTCCCCTTATAAGAAACGTTTTGTGGTGTGGCAGGCTCTGAGTGGCTCCATGTTTGGCCACAGAGGTGGCAGCACACTAGCGAAAGTCAAAAGATCTCTACACCGTGCCTCTTTGGTAAATTGTCCTGGTGTCCCTGGGACATCAAAGATGCTATGTAAATGAAGCCGACAGTTGTCATTGAAACATTAAACATTGTCCTTCCTTTTTCTCTAACACTGTTTCTCTTTGTCCTGCATGCAGGAAAGCCAACATCTTTGTCTCTCTGCTGATTGATGTGGTTCTGGGGATACTGCTGATGTCCTGGCTGTACAGAAAGAACCGAATTGGTCACCTTGCTGACACTCTCATCCCCGTGGCAGATGTAAGTCTGGCCAAAGCCATTTCTCCTTCACCTGCTGTGGGTACTGACCAGCTATTGATGCCTGGGGCAATTGTAAGGAGGCAATGCCTTAGACGCAAGGATTTCAGGGAGAGTCCTGTCTGAAATCATGCAAATTAGGTCTCTCAAGAACAGTGAAATCTTCAAATCAAGCCTGCTGGGGCTGCTCAAAAGGAACACAGTTCTGCTTTGTGTGTGCAGTGAATAGTAATTACATGTTTACCGGAGGGCTGCTCCAGCTCCTGAAGTAACAGTTATGGCTTGGACAGAGCTCTGCAGCTGCAGGTTGAGTGGTTAGCAAGCCAGAATACTTTTATTCTGGAGTTGACAGGAAGTATCCTCAAATAGTTGCCATATGGGGCGTTTGGGGGGGAAATAAAAAACAAAAAAAAGATAAAGTACTGAAAAGTCAAACTTGATAAGCAGTGCAGCTGTGCTTGTGAAGAGGAATTTCATGGGGAAATCCAAGGGCGTTTGCTAGTCAGGTGCAAACACCTGAAATCCTCCCTAAGCTCTCTAAGAGCTCTGGTGTACAAATGGTAAACTAGGAAAACTTGCTGTGTCCTGTGATTTTCTCAAACGTGACTCCTCTTGCCCACTAAGATCCCTTGGCATCAGCATAAATACATGAAGAACAAGTATGAGTCATACTATCCTGCCTTTCTGGTGGCTCATTTTAGGTGCAGTACTCCAATACATCTGTTTAGTGGCAGTAAGGAACATATAATGTGCTTCAGAGGCTGGAGACCAGACCACTAATGTGAAGTTAGCTCCATTTTAATAGCTTCTGTGTCTTGGGAATACATGTGCAGCCAATGTTGAGCACTGTCATGCAGTTGCACAGCCTAATCCTTTCTCTGCCTGCTTTCCTTTAATTTCTGGGAGAGAAGGTGGATCTTTCCATTGGTTTCATTCTAGCAGCTGGAGAACATCCGCTCTTTGCCCTTTCTCTAGCATCTTGGTTGGGAGGAACTTTATTCTGATGAGAGAATTTCAGCAGCAATTTATTTTTTCTACTTATCCTGTCTTTCTTGGGAGGAGCTCACATTTCCCTTAATGATGGTCTGCTTGGTCCTGGTCTAACGTTTAATTGTTACAAGCTGTAGGTCTCCCGTCATTCTTGTACATGCTGTGCTTTCAGAGAGCATATATGGAGTGTCCAGTATAGCTGTAGATCATGATTATTGCTATTTTTTTTATCTTTCGTAGTCAAATTTTTAAGGGTTGCATGTTTTAAGGATTGCTGCAGATGCTATTCAGCAGCAGTGTTGGGGTAAAAAAGACCACAATTCTTGCAATGCACTTGCTCTTGTATTTGAGCTATATGCTAAAAATATTTCTCTAAGTCTTTTCCGTTACGGATACTTCAGCTGGAGAAGTTAAAGTTCTCTGGAGCTCTCCCTATGGGATTACTGTAAGCGTCCAGCTCTTAGAAATCGGATTTCTTAACAAGTCTGCAAGGAAGTGGCTTTTGGCTGCATTCCTGTTTGCACAGGTGGCTCCGGGAGGGGTTCCATCTGCCCAGTGTCTTTGGCAGATGGACGCTCTCTATGCTCAAGGTGTATCCGATCCCAGCACCTGTCCTGGATGGGCTTGCTTGTGGGAGTTGCTCGTCCGTTCCTCTTTCAGTAATTTAGCTCATCTGTCACTCAACTTATGCATCATAGTGTCAGTTATTTTCACCATATCTTCTACATGGGTGGACTTCATTACCTTGCTGTCACCAAGAGCTGTTTACTTACTTTCCTGGAAGCATTAAATCCTCCTTTTGTGGGTGGCCTCATCGTTAGTTGGTGCCTTTCTTCTCTGCAATATCTCCATGCTTATCAATTCAGGCCACTTACAACTCCTCTTACTTTCCAGCCTTACTTTCTTCTTTCAAGCATGTTAGGCTGTGGACATAAAATCATTTGGAGTCCTTTTACTGCCTTCGGTGGGCATTGATTTACGTGCATTATGTGCAGGCCTTAAAAAATGCAGATCTGAGTGATCCCAAAATATACCAATGACTTCAGCATTTGGTGTGCAAGCCAGCACCACTTCTTTTCCAGTATGACAGCAAAATCTCCCCTTAGCTATTCAGCCGTAGGTTTCCTCTTTGCTGCCGAGTGTCCATCTGGTATGCATTATTCCCATCACTTGGGCTTTCTCAAGTGCTTATGTGTTGCCAAGTTCAGTAATGCAAACTTTCACGTGTGGAGTGAGTTACTTTTCCCTTCCTAATGCTATTCTGCTTTTGATAGGTGCCCCAGATTTGAGGATGGCATTGACCTTACATCTCTGTGTCTGTTAGTAAACAGAACATTATGTATATTATAATAAGATTATTATCTATTATAAGGTTATATACATAACCTTATTTTAACCTTATTGATTTGATTGATTTTAATAATGACAAACTAACCTTATATAACATATAACCTTGCTGGTTTGATTGGTTGATTTTAATATTGACAAAATCGTAGCTGTGTGGTGACTGGATACAGTGCTCAGGGTTTTTTTTTCCTAGCAAACGTGTCTCTGGAAGGAAGCAGATGCAGGTAGGTTATTTTGGCTCTCATCAACTGCCAGGGTCACAAGCTCAGCCTGCTGACGTGAGGATCAAGCCATGTTCCCCAGCCATCATTCCCCATCCCCTGATATAATGGTTCTCAAATCAGCACTTAGCTAGCAATTGTTGATGATGCACAAGACATCATTGACTGCAGCACTCACAGCTTGATGAGCTGCGCTGTGCTGACTGTAATAACAAGTTGCTTTTGTCAGTAAATGAGGCAGATGTGATTCAGAGACACCTAGGGAGTAACTGGCGAGTAGCTGTATGCATTATGAAGGACTGATTTTTGGAACAGGCTTTCAAATCCAAGAATGGAAAATATGAATAATCTTCTCTCTGTAGGTGCCCTCACAACTCCTACCCTCCTCCTTCCTCTCGCTCCCACCAGATTTCCCAATGGTTGTCCTTGCTTTTGCCTTCCACAAAACAGCCTTCTTTCAAAAATACCCGATGCAAAGCACGGCATTTGTCTGTTTTAAAAAGAACAACTGCTTATAAACCATCTTCTTGTTTTCTCCTTCACCTCTTTCATCCTTGCTGATGTGTCTTTTTCTTAAACTGTAATCTCTTTGAAACAGTTAAATATTTATTGTAGATTGTGCCTCCAAAAATGTTACTGGGTCTCAGAGATAATTGGATCTGCTTGCTCTGGCTTGCACTAGATGCTCCACTCAGCAAGTCCGTGCAGCCCACAGTGCCCACCCACAGTGCACTGTGTGTCCTTCTCCATCGATGTCACATCACCATTAGACCAGCTGCATATGGGGGCTAGAAAGAAGAGCATGACAGTAAAGCAAATATTTCCACAGTGTTCTCATCTAAACCGTGTTAGCTTTAGTCTCCAGTTTGGTGATGTCCCTACACCCCTTTATGAAACACTTCCAATTCACTGTATCTCATTTATTAATACTGGCCACATTCAGTATTCATGACTGCAACAGGAGAATTGGACTCCCAGTCACCTTTTCTGATTCTGCTTGCTATTGATCAGTTCAAAAATACCTGGCTGGAAAACAACCTGCAAGGGTATGCCTTAGGACTATGTTTTGAAATGCCTTGCCCAGCTAAATAACAGCAAGCTAGGGCACCTTCCCAGAGCCATGTGCCCCTGTCAGAATTTAGTAGCACTTCTGGGACAGGCTGCCTACAGTAGCATTCAGTGCTGAAAAACAGTCTTGCTGAAGGACTGCTTTCAAGCATTTAAATATTTCATTAAAATCCCAAAATGCTTTTTCTAAGTTACCAGTCCAACACTTTAAATATTAAAAACAGTCTATTTATAAAGTAGCTAACACTTCTCAGCCACAGAGGTAAGATCCATGGGTTCAGATCAGTTCTACCTTGCAGTGAGATATTTTAAAGGAGGTTGAGACAGAGAAAATGAATGAAATCAAAAGGCAATCCTTTTGGATAAATTGAAGATGGAGCTCTTAATTTTGCCAGTACACTAAAAGTAAATGTTTACAAACTCATTTTGCAAAGATCCTGTTGATTAATATATAAAGTTAAATCATTCCTTGGAAATCATTTGCCCTTGGGGAAATTATCGTTGTGACTGATGAGGAAAGTAGGCTACAGTGCATCAGCTTCAGGTAGCATGTGTTCATTCTTCTGCACGTGCACAATTTGCAGTGCAATTCACATGCATGGTTTTGACTGTAAGTGGGATTTTCAGAGGCAGAAGGCTTTTACTCACAATCTGTTCATGTGGGACAGTGTGAGAGCTCACTTCTTCCAGGTATGTTCCCCACCTCTTTGCTGGAGGTTACCACTCAGCTACCTCAATTCACAGCCTGGTAAATGGACTTCGCCAATGATTTCAGCTTAGGTGAGTAGGTCAGGTGCAAACTACTGAGGAGCAGAGCCACCCTGTCTCCTGCCCTACCGACTGCGAGGGAGACCTCTGGCAGAGTAGCGGGGTGGAGGGGGAGAATCAGTAAAGAACATCAGCCTAGGATAAGTCACCAGAAATAGTGAGTCAAAGCCTTCGGTGATTTGGGGGTGATCTCCATCAGGCTTTGTTCTCAATGATTCAGAAGGCTTCTTTTTTACTGGGATGCCATGGGTATCTCTCCATGAAGTCTACAAGAGAGACAGACAAGATCAGTGCTATATACCGTGGTTGATCTCGCCAAGTACACCACAGAATATCAAGAAACTTTGTTTATATGTGAAGTATGTTTATATAATTGTGTTTTCCATCTTAGTGTAAACACATACAGGTTATTTTGTGGTAAAAATTTGCCTTTTTTGCCCATGAGTGCACAGCCCACCTGCCCCTTTAAAAATCTGATAGCCTTCCCCATAGCTAGATTACTCTCTCAGTTCTAATTTTTCAGTTGACTGTCCGATGAAGGTGGTTTGCTCATGAGCATTTGCCATCTATTTCAAGTACTCTGATTACACCAAGAAATCGTACTGCGTAAGTCCACCAGAGATGGCCACAAACAAACATGAAGTTCGTGTTCCCAGCACGGGGACCATTAAGCAGTCCAGCTTCCTCTCTGCTGTTATATCTGCATTCAGTAAGGAGTCAATAAAGGTGCATTTCTGATTTAACTAGTTGTCTCTAAAGTAGTCATTTGGATTTTTTGTTTTCCATTGGTTTGAAGGGTGTGGTAAGAACACTTCGGGGGGAGCAGCATGCACAGTGCGCTGGATCTGTTCAGTGCAGTAGCAGTCTTCTATTTCACTCAGATGCCTTGCTTCCATGTGTTTGTAGCACGTAGCTGAAGAGCTCCAGGACCTGCTCCAGTGGCTAATGGGAGCACCAGCTGGACTGAAAATGAACCGAGCATTGGATCAGGTTTTGGGCCGCTTCTTCCTTTACCACATCCATCTTTGGATTAGTAAGTGCAGTTGTTTAACTTTTCAGCCTCCCTTTTCATCTCTTCCCTCCCGAGTGTTTAATGTTTGCCTAGAGGTGAATAATGAATCACAATGCACTACTGCAAGTACAGACTTGTCTGTGAGTCTTCCTGCTGTGGGAACTCAAGCCAGAGTTGGATTCCCACACAAGGAAGTCATGCATGTTAAACAAAGTGCTTGTACTGATGCTTTGCAAGATGTGCAAGTCACGATGGAGCTTGCTTACTTGGTGCCATTAGTGGTGAGTCTCCAAGTGAAGGCTTTAGGTCTTACATAGGCTTTCACAGTCATTGCCATGTAAGAGGCAGCTGATAGGATAGGGATGAGAAGCATGCTTTGGGGATAGAAATGCCAACCCTGTCTTGTCACTGACTTCATCTTAGTGCAATTTTATTATTTCAAGTCCCTCCTTGAAATAACACACCCTTGTTATCCTTGATAAGTGTCTTGATGAGGAGTACAGTCATTATGCACATGCACTCCTTAGTTGTTATACTAATTTACTTTGCTCACCAATCAAGCACGGTCTCGTTTCTGTGACTTTGCTCCACTTTCATGATGAAAGAGACTGTGTGCCTCCACACTATTTTATTTTACAGAACGCAGATGGGATGGATTTTGTGGGAATAGGAGGAAAAGGGGGATGGTTGCAGTAAAGGTTGATGTGTGCAGTTAAAAATGTAATTGGAAACCTGGACACAAATCTAGAAAAGCAACTCACATGTGGAGCAAGGTGACTGCTCTGTTCAAACTGAGCATGCCCTCCCCTCCTCACGGAATGGCCACACCTGGACAGAAACCTGGGGGTAAAGAGAGTTTTTGTTGGCCCTCCTAAACAGAAGATGGCATCTAAAGTAGTTTTCCAGTTTTACTTCCATGTTTTCATGGCTATGATTTCTGAAGCAATGTTCTAGGGCAGAGGGAATCAGTCTTTTGAGAGTGTCAGCAGGATGATGTCTCAGTCGAATACTGACACTCTGCAATGTCCACTAGGCTACATTCACCTGATGTCCCCGTTCATTGAGATGATCCTCTGGTATGTCGGCCTGTCAGCTTGCCTGGGCCTGACTGTGGCTCTCTGCATCCTCTCCGACATCATTGCGCTTCTGACCTTCCACATCTACTGCTTCTATGTCTATGGAGCCAGGTGAGTTGACCTCTCTTGGCTGTATCTTGGGTATGTTTGGAGAGAAGGGCCACTGAACACCTAGGCTATGTCTTTAATTTGTGGAGCATTCAGTCCTGGTGTAGTTCTATTGAATTCACAGTTTAGCCAGCAATTAATTTATTGCATTCTTTTATGCGTGTAGAAATGACGGCCACAGTAGTACAAGCAACATATCTGTGTCAGTTCTCCTGCATTTAAATATTTATTTATTGTGGTAGTGACTTGGAAAAATAAAGCTACCTGACAGGCAGAGGACAAGAAAGCAGTTCACCCCATCCCTCTGATTCAACCTTACAGTACTTTTCTGTTACACCACACCCAGTAGTTTTGAGGGGAACTGGAGGAGAGGAGGAGGAAAGGGAAACCCTTGTACTTCTGGAGAAGCCCCAAAGTCTCTGCCTCTTCCCTGCTTCAGAGGTTCTCGTCTGCATCGTGGAGCACAGATGGCAGGTTTGGGATTACAGCATGGATTTACTGTAGGGCCCCATGGCCTGAGGGCCAGGCAGAGGCTCTGAGGGAGTGCAGGGGGCTTTGGGGCATGTCCAGGGCATGTCAGGGTTGCTGTGCAAACAGAGATCACCAATATGCTCTGTTCCTGGCCTGCATTAACATGTACTGCAGCGAGGTGTCACACAGGCCGCTGGAGAATAGCTGCTCTTGCTGAGGAGATGGGAGGCAAGGTAATACATAACAGAACTCTTGGCTTATAAATTACAGACTGGTCATCGTTCTTCCCCAGGCTGTGAGCAGAGGGCATTACATTGCAAACAACAGAAGAAATGGTAGAACTTTAGTTATGGGTAGTTTAGGGAATGGTTAGAAATGGTGAGATATGATTGATGAATCGGGTCTGTTGTAAGCATAGGGCTTACACCCAAAAATCAGTAATGTCAGTAATGGGGAGTCTCTTCCCAACACCTCTAATTACTGGAATTTCTGTTCTGGTCTGTGAGAAGTGGCCTTGCTCCTCCTAATTGTACAGAGAGTGGAAATGGGAAAAGCGTTTTGTCAGCTGATTGCTTTTCGCTTGTGAACTGCAGGGAGCCAGTCTACCCACCTCGGCTGTTTGTTAGAAGTACAGAGTAGCTATATGTTATGTTGCCGCTGGCACCAAACTGGCCCTGCTGTGCCAGGTGCCCCCTGTGGAGAGTCACGAAGAGATAGCAGTCACCCGCATCAACACAGCCTCCACAACACCTTGCACTCCTGCAGTGGGTGCAAGAATTTGCTAGTTCAGGTGCTACTGAAGCCTGAGATCCCCTTCTGAAGCAAACCGCCCGGTGAAGCGAGAGCGGGCAAGTGTGTGCAGGCAGCCAGGGAAGGTGAGGCAGATGCTACAGCAGGAGCACCCGCTTGGTGCCATGTCAGGGCGCGCAGGGGGCTGTGTGGTCTTAGTCAGAGCCACAGGGCAAGTGTGTACCAGCAACCTGGAGGAGTTGTCCTGGGAACCCTCCTGCCTAGGGATTAATGCACCAAGCTGTGCCTGCCGGGCGGGGGGCATCCTGCCAATTCTTTGAAGCAGTTGGTGTTCCTCAAACCAGATTCTTCTCTTGGATAAGACTCCTTGCCTCTGCTTTCACAATGCTGCCTTGAAATCTGAGCAGCCTCCGCGCCTTAACTAGGCTGGTTAACCAGTCTGGCTTTTGTAGCTCGGGCTTTCTCAGGCTCTGTTCTGCCCCACAGATTGGATGTGTCCCCTTTCTTTATATCCCTATATGGTAGACACTGCTGCCCAGGGCTCTTTGTGCCTCTCCTCCATCCCAGGGGCTCTTTTTTCCTCTATGTCATTCCATAGATGTCTCTGTTTCCTGCTCCTTATAACACCAGGCTTCTCTCATGCTTGCCATTTGTCTGGGAGGGAAGTAGCTCCAAGTGTCGTAGCACCAAGTTACGAAAGCCTAAGGAAAGGATGTGGAAGGGGTGCCACCAGCCATTTAGTTGATCTCTTCCCCCTCTTATGGATGTTTGAAGTTATGGTTGACTAAAGAAAGTGCACGGCTACAGTCCTCTCCTTGCCTCCCTGTGCTGCGGAGGCAAAACTGAATTGTATTGACTCAAATGTGAGGGGTAAGACCTTGGCGACTCCTGCTGTGGAAGGGGTGTGAAGCAAGGGGAACAGGGCAGACCTAAACTGGAGAGACAGGTGAGCTCAGAGAAATAAGCTTGCTGCTTCTTTTGCTGAAGATAAGGTGGTAGCATGGGGCTGGTGATTGCTGCTGCTCCCAGGGGCCACCCCGCAGCAGTACTTGCCACTTCCCATATGCCAGCCTCTTCATCAACAGGAGCAGAAATCCAGAGCCTTGCTGCAGCCGCAGGCCTGGCATGGCCATTGCCTGCCAGTGGCCCAGAGCTGTCTGCAGTAGCCGGCTTTGCCTGTGCTATGGACCAGCCCAAATACAGTTGACTGAGCAATTAGTATTTTATCTGCGTCATTCTCGGGCTGATTTCTTTTGTTGCTCGGAGTTCTGCGGCGTGGGTAAGTGAGTGGGCACAGGGGTGTAATGGTGACGGCTGTTTTGTGTTGAAGCTTGGGAGCTCGCAGCTCTGATGCGCAGTATCTTCTCTTTGCTCAGGCTCTACTGCCTGAAGATTTACGGCCTGTCATCTCTCTGGCGCTTGTTCCGTGGGAAGAAGTGGAACGTCCTCCGGCAGCGAGTGGATTCCTGCTCCTATGACTTGGACCAGGTAGTGCTGGAGCGCCCGGGGCTTGCTGCGGGATGCTGCCCACAGGCAATATGATTCTAACCTGCTTCGGCTAATACCGAGACAGAAGCCACGGGAGACTCTGTGGTGCCCAGAACAAGTGCTTGCCCTGACACTCTGCATCTGTGGCTCTTCAACCAAATGCTTGGACTCTGCTCCTCTGCAGCACCCCTTCACTCCTCTGCGTGTTCAGGGGGCCTAATTCTAGCAAGTGTTGAGCACCTGCAAGGCACCATGGTGAGCTGCAGTGGGTGCTGCAGATGCTCACAGCTCCTGGAGCAGGGGAATGGGAATGGGGGAGGGAAGCAATTTAAAAAGTGGTGCCCAGCAGTGTTGCCACAGTAACAGATATGCCAGCATTTCTATTAAAAGGCCCCATTTCATTCACGTTGTCCTGGAGCCTGGCCCACACGTTCTCACTCACGCAGCAGAGGCAGTTTTTTGTGAAACACTGTAAGCTCTGAATTTCCAAAATGCTGTGCAAAAGTTCAGCAGAGCCTGAACTACTCCACACCGGCAGTTCCAAACATCACTAAAATAATACAATAATATTTGGTAACTTCCAAGGCCAGTGCCTCTCCCTCTCTTGCAACAGATAACCTTGAGCTTCTTACGCCACAGTGGAGGAGCTATTTTTCTGTTTCTTCAGTGATGGAAAAGTAAGGGCCTCTGTGCCAGGAAGGCAGTTTGCGTCAGGGCTCGATCCTTGTGTGCTTTGAGGAGATCTGGTTTGGCACTTCAGGCTTCATCCTGCTGCTCCAGAAGCGGTGGGAATTGTGTTGCTGGCCTGGTTGGGAAGAGGCATTCAAAGCAGACCTGAAAAGACTTTCAGAGATGTTAAGCAACTGCAGTGGAGTGACAGAGGAGGGGAGAAACAACTGTTGCGAAGAGAATGGGTTGGGTTATGATCTATTTCTGATTACATGCGTAAAGCTGGGATGTTGATCCACCTCTGTGACAGGGCTGTATTGGTTATTTTCTTTCATAATGTGGCCATGATCTCTTTTTGCAGAGGTGGCAGTACCGTGTGTCCCTGTGGCCTCTCTGTTCTCGAAGTGGTGACTGAATATTGAAGAGTCAGATCCCTATTTGTCATAAATCTGCATTTCTCCCAGTTGGAATTAGTTAGACTTACACCAACTGGGCTGGCCCAGAATAAAAATAGCTTTTTCTGTGGCCAGTGGAGCTAATGACACCTGCTTTCCTATGGATTTTTCTCCTTCATCCTCTGAATATTGCATCACCCACCCCAGTAACTCCAGCTTCTCTCTCTCCCAGTTTCCCACTGAGCAAGAGGCCAAAGTTCTGTGTCTGGACTGACCAGCTGGCTGCTGCTGCTGGGAATGTTTGTCAGGCAAATTTTGCCAGCTTTTCCCAAGCTGCTTGTTCCAATAGGACAAGGAGGAACAAAAATACTTCTCAATTCTCTACAAAATTCCCTACCAAATTCCTACTTCTCTGTACCCTTCCACCTTTTCCTGATGAAAACTGACCAATTGCTTTAAAACTTGCAGGGGTAGGGGGTGGACAAACAGCATGATCATGTAAGTCTTGTTCCCTAAGGAAGCCAGGCTGAAATAGGAAATCTTGAGTATTGTCTGTAAAGGGAAAAATGCTGTCAGGATCCAGCTTATTTATCTTTCCAAACATACTCTTATAATAAGGAGCATTCTAAAAAGGCCCAGTGAGAGAAGAAGTACCAAAGATATTCAAGGTAACAGCATTATTCACATAGGGAGTAAAAAAGAAAAATTAAGGAGACTTGCAAACTTTCATTGTCTCACAGTTTCCTATTCTTTTGTATTTATTTTATTTTGCCATTGCTGTGCTAATGATCGTTTGTGTTTCTTTTTCCCCCAGTTATTTATTGGCACTTTGCTATTTACAATCCTGCTGTTCCTTCTGCCTACAACTGCACTGTATTACTTGGTGTTTACCTTGGTAAGCTTTAACCCTTGAATATAGTCATATACTGTCTTCTGAGACACTAAAAGAAGGTTTCCTAGTTGTTTACTGTTATCCACAAAGAAAACATACATTTGTCTGGGTGTCCTAAGAAGGGCTGTCACACAGCCCCTGTAGGCCAAGCATGGAATTCAGGATATGTGTTTGTGTTTCTGCAAAGGGAATTCCCAGCAAATCTGTCAGTGGGACAAGATGTTCCCCTCTCCTTCACTTGGAAGTCATTTTTTATCTTTCCGTCCCATGTCTGGGTTGGCGGCCCCTCTAGCTTGATCCAGAACTTTTTTTCAGGAAATTAACTTGCTGTGTTAAATGCTTTCAGCCAGGCTATGCTCAGCGGGTTGGACTTCTTTATATTACTTTTCTTCCCCCAATATGACCAGTCGTCTCTGAGGCCTGCTTGGAGTAATATCTTCTAATAGACAGTGGCCATCACATGGCTTTTTCAACATCATTTTTGAGTCTTCCCTTTTCACATGAACTTTTCAGCAAAAATAAATGCCATCTGACAACAGGAGGTGCTTTCACCAGGGGACAGAAAACATGGAGCAGGAAGCTATTTTCTGACTGTTTTGCTCTTGCTTAGGTGCTCTGCATGTGGTTTCTTCAGGGAGAAATAAGCTACTTAGGTTCACTGTTGGAGGGAGAAAAAATTACATGCACTGATACACAGTGACGGAGTTCGCTAGAAATGGAAGCCTGAATTCTCCCTTTTAGGCTGTGGCTGTTGGAATAGCTGTCATGTCCTTGCAGGTCACAGCCTATATGACTGTAGGGGCTTCATTTCAGTTACACCCATAAGCTAAGATTGCCAGGGAACCTCACGCAGGGTCTGGATGCCCAGCACTTCCAGACATCAAATCCGCTTTGGGAGACTTTAGCTTAGCACACAACAGTGTTAGACTGCAGATCAGTTCATGAATTTGCAAGTGTTGCATCTCCTGTTTCTCCAAGATTTCCTTATTAAACCGTTTCTCTGTAGCTCCGTTTGCTGGTGGTGATTGTGCAAGGCCTGATACACTTGCTAGTTGACCTGATTGACTCTCTGCCTCTTTATTCAATCATCCTTCGGCTCTGCAGATCCTACAGACTCGCAGGTAAGTCCTTCAGCACTGCACATGCAGAAGTTCAAGGATTTTTGCGTAATGCATTTAATTTTGATGCGATGGTTAGCTTCTGGATAGAAAGATGCAGCGATGGCAGGAAAGAGCCTAAGACTCCAGTCATGCAGTTGTCCATGCTGTTAAGCAGTTACTGCAGGATGAGGATGTCAATGCAAAGAGATCTGATGCTGAAGCAGAATCAGGAGCACCTTTACAAAGCGTATGGCAACTGAAAGTGGCATCCAAACAGGCACTATTATAAATGAGTTCATCTTTTGATTCCAGTTCTAGTGTACCAGGTTACGTAAAACTTAAGAGTTAAAGGAGCTGTTAGCCTTGGGGATTTGGGCTCTGAAACAAGCCAAATTACAAAAATACTTGGAACATCTGCTGTTTCAAAGGGCTGGATCTACAGTGGCTGTGAATCAATGGAGCTGCTTCAGTTCTGTGCTGACTTGACTAACATCCTGAGCTGAGATGTTTGGGTTAATTTCAGCGCTCTGGGCAGATTTCAGATAATCGGTCTCTTTTTGGGACTGTCACCATTTTGAAACTAGTCATTGTTTTTCCACTTTTGGTAACCATCAACTATGGTTGGCATCAGAGTAAAGTGTCATTCTGAAATGGGCTGAACTCTCAACAGCTATGATTAATCTAGTTAAAATCAAGCAGATCTAGATTATTATCTTCTGTGCATTTAAAAGAGCATGCAGGAGGAATTTTAAATATAAGAAAGAGCTTGATCATCACTAAACCAAGGCTAGTCATCAAATGCAAAGGAAGCTTGAGGCAATCGATAACAGCTTTGTCTGTTACAGAGGTGCCAGGCTTGATTTTGTTACCAGCTCTGTTTTCCATGCGTGCCTTCAACAGGTTACTATGAATTTCCTGGCAGATACTTCTTAACCTTTCAGGGCTATCTTTGGAGAACAGGAGATGCTGCTGAAGAAAGCTGATGCAGTAAACAGCGGGTCATAGGATAGAAGGAAATCTTGTTGCCACTGAGAGATAAGGCCATATATTCCCATCAGTCTTAGGTTACTTCTCAGTTTTGTTTAGTGAGCTATCTTCTGCAGGGTAATGAGTGTCCGCTCAGGCAGAGGATTGTCTTCTCAGTTGAGTTTGCTACCTGACTTACTTTCTTTGTTGGCTATTTGTTTGCTCCTCCTAAACATTTTAAGAAAGAGAACACTGCATTGCCATGCTGCCTGCAAGATGAAGAGAACTCTCTCTGAGAGTTTCTGCAGCCTGTGTTCCTGCTGCAGCACAAAAACATGTCGCTGGAGTGGTGACAGATGGAGCAGTTAAATCAAATTCAAAGGACTACAGAGAGTACACATCACTTGATGTCCTCACTGCTTAGGTTTTGCCTCCCTTTTCAGACTCAGAACTTGGATAAGACATCCTCTGGCATATGTTACGGCAGCTGATTTTACAGGCACCATAAAGATGGCTGTACCAACAGGAATGGATAGCTTTTCCTGTCAGCAAGGGTTTAGTAGAGTGGTTCAGTTCAGTTCAGTCATGGCATCTGGCCTCGAAGTTATTTGACTCAGTTTCTGAATTGACAAAGTGTTATATTGATGAAGCCTGGGCCAGGATAAATGAACGATCCATCCACACACCAGAAATAAAATCTGTATTTTCTTTCCACACATCAGAAGTTAAATACTTTGGACTTTAAAAAGCCTTTTGCAAAGCCGGTGTTCTCTCTGCAAGAGTTCTGTCTGCCCAGTGTGAGCTCAAGGAATGCCACCTTGGTTGGGATGGGTACACTGTGATGTTAATTTAGTGTGTGAAGTAAAGCATAGCAGTGAGGTCCAGGGGTCTTGGGCTCTGGCCACACCGAAGTTACCAATGTACTGTTTGCTCATGCGCAGGTCAGTTCATTTTCTGTCTACTTTTCTTTCCCTTTTGCCCAATACATAGATATTCACATCACAAACTTCGGGGCAAGCTTTGTCATGGTTCTGTAGGACCTGTCAGAGTGGTGTCTCCATGGTTACTGGAATACAAACAAGGAATGAGCTTGGTTTAGTGTGCTATCATGTGAAACAAAACAAATGGGTTCATGTCCTGACCTCTCTTGTGCCATCAGTGATGCCTGTGTACAGAAAAAGCAGAACCCTAAGCTCTGGAGTTGGCTGGCAATCATGGAATAGTTTAGGGTTCTTCTCTGCTAGAGTGATATGCAGTAGACTGAGCCTTCACGCTTTTTCTGTGAATTGCTCAGACTCCTGAGCATTGTAATAATCTATAGGTCATTTTAAAATAAATTTATTTGTAGTCTTTTTGTGCATGTATTTTTCTAGAAGTTCAAGATTCTTGAACAGTTAAATAATCTAATTAATAGATTCTTGGCTTGTAGCTGTAGAAGGGAAGTGTATGGCCATGACCTATTGAAACAGCATTTTCTGGTCTAATGGAGTGTTCATAGGATAACGCTCCAGATTGATCAGTATCTGAAACTTCACTACCCACTTGTTTCTGTCTCTCTCTGACAAATTGCCTGCCTGAAAAGTAGTTCCTGGAATGGCTTAGACACTTCCCCATAGCCAAAACTCAATGAATCACGTTGAACACTTTTTGTCATCCAGCACATTTGCTTATTGAGACCCAAAGTACTCAAACATCTTTTTGAAGCCATTGGGGAAGCCCATGTTTCAATATAATCCAGCAAAATGCCTATAAATCCTTCCTGTCCTGCACAGAAAAGGCTTTATGATCTGGGGAGAGAGTTTAACCAGAGCTGTCTGCTAGACAAGAGTGTGCTCTCCCGGGACTAAACTGTATAATTTTAGTTAATTCAGAGCTTGAGGCAAAAGAGAAAATGTTTTGGTTTTTAAATGTGCGAGAGTCACATAGATACTACAGCAATGAGGTTTACACAGATTGAGTTTTATTTCTATTTGTTCTCCTGAGTCGCTGCTTGATCTGTGGCAGATCAATTCATTACTCTTGCCTCATCTTCTTACTTGTAGAAAGGAATAATAGGGGCACACTCGGATGGTACAGGTTTCCAGAAGATGGATTGGTTTAATTTCTGTGAAGTGATTTGAGATCTTTCGAAGAAAAATGCCTCTCTAGTCCTAGTTGTTACCTTTGTTTGAAACATTGCATTAAATGTTCATGTGCACTATATCACCGTTCGAATCCAAAATCTTTCCTATTTATCTTTACAGTATTGGGAATGTAGCAAATCCAAGACAAAATATAAAAGTGGCTGGTTCCATGGGGTTAGTAGTGTGTAACAAACATATGAATACTGGGATTAATAGGCAGTGATTGCTTTGAAATGTCTTTACTGCCTGCAGGCCAGCCACTTTCCTCCCCTGGTCTGAAAGAGGGAGAGGTTTGCACATGTGCTCTATCCACATGCGCACAAATTAAAGGTGAATTCTCTGCCTGCTGTTAACATGGAGTTCCCACTCTGATGGAAGTTTGGGAAAAGAGAAAGATTTTTCCAGTCTCTTTGTCATCATCAGGTCTGGCTGTCCTATTTCTAGGCTTTGTGCTTGCTTTCTTTAGGACTGCGTTTTCAAGCTGGAAGTCAGAGGGCTGCTTTTAATGGAACTAAGAGAAACACATTGTTTCTCATTACGCTTAAAACCACTGTAGAGAGAATCTGTGCTTCCCGTTGAAGATGTGTAAGAGTTCAAAAATCAAGAAAGGTTGAAGACTCGGTTTCCAGGAAATCAGTGCTCAGCCAGCGGAGCTGAGCAGCAAATGGTATGGCCTTTTCTCCAGCATGGATTTGGTTTCCTTGTTTTGCTTCTTTTTCAGCTGGTGTGAAGTTCAGAGTCCTTGAGCAGCAGGATGGAAAACCTCTTCGACTCCTTATGCAGGTGAGCCACTTGTGCCCTCTGTGACGTTTTCTGCTGCAGGCTTCGCCTCAGACTGACCCCAAGGTCCTTCTCTCTTCTGTAACAGTTCTGAAACTGGTCCCACTGAAAGGCCCCACTTAAATAATTTCAGCTTTGAAATGCTGAAACAAGGGAAATACATTTCACATTGCAATGGCTGGCTGCTGCTTTCTCTTCTTTTTAATACCCTGCTTGGGCCCTCTGTTTAGACAAAATGCAGAGTCCTGTATAGTGTGAAATGAAATGTGAAAGGAGAAACATGGAGCTCTGTTAGTTCAGGAATTAAGGCTTCACATCATTATCACCTCGCTTCCTGTCTCTGTGCAGCTTCACCTTGATAATTGCTGAACACTGCGAGAAGCGAAAGGCGGCCGCTAAACCATCCAGAGTGAAAGACAGTTCAGGGCTTGTGAAAGGTCTTCGTCTCCAGATGTGCTGAAATGCCTTAGCTGCTCCGTGGTGCCGGCAGGCTGAGTGCATGGGCAAGACATGAGAGGGAAGGGCCTACTGTTCTTCTTGGGGTTGCTCTGGGAGGGTGCATGGAAAAAGGTTACCTGTGCTTTTGTAACCTTGCATTTCCATGCTTAGTCGCCAGAAATACTAAGGGAAATTTTTTTCTTAAAAGAAATTATGTTACGGGAGCAGTGAAGTTCTCGTTACACTTTCAGGAGTGATTGTGAAATTTCCATTTCCTGACTTCGCAGGACTACCACCATATCACAGGGGCACTTATCTTACTCTTTGCATGCTAGAAGGAGAGTCTGCAAGTAGGGTATAGAATTTGTGAAAAACACGTGGACACTGGGGGCTTGTGGGGGAAGGAATTAACTGCGGCTTCCCATTTATTTTCTTTTTTTGCATCAACGGTCCAGCCCTGTTTCAGCAGAGGTCAGATGAGCAGGGAGCCAGCACACCAGCTAGCAGCAATTCAAAAGGAAATCCCTTCAACAGATGTCTTCTAGGGCAAAGCTAGCATTTCCTAAGCGTGCTGTCTTCCCATGCTGTTTTCCCAGTTCCTGTGTTTCGGTGGCGTAGTGGTGTAAGAAACAAAATCTGTCATTCTTCATGGCCAGAAGGCTACATAAAAAGGAAACTAAACACCAAAGAAGGTGCACAGAAGCTGAACAGAGAATTTGGCATCAGTGTGTTTGAGAGATGAGGTGGATAGCTTCTCCAGAGGAAAAAGATTACAACTTCAAGAGTAGAGGCAGTGAGTCATATGAATGTGATGAATTTTCCTTGGACCACTGCAGAATGATTCATTTGCTATGTAGAATGTAGTATAAGTCATCATATCAAGAGGTGTAAGTGCTTTAGTGGATGTCTCCCTTGGCCTTCTGTTCAAATAATAATGAGCAGAGTCAGTAAAGGCACTTTTTCTCCCTCTTTGTGCTGGTGCAAATGAAAAATGGACATTGAGAAAACAATCTAAAAAGCCTATTTTTAAGTGACATGCTAAAAAGTCTTATTTATGGTACATGATGATATTCCTTTCTAGAAATTTTACAGTGGCTTAGTCCCCTTCCCATATGGTAGCCCTCCAGAGCGATACTTGATGGAAGTAAGGCTGTATGCATGTGACTGCCCAAAATATTTTAAGCTATAGGTAAGTGACACATTCACAGCTGTCCTTTGGGGCACTGGTAATGGGTTTGAAATCAACAGTGCTGGTTTTGAGCATTCACATTCAGCTTGTGGTTCGGATGAGTGATTATTTTTGAGATAGTGTCACCAGAATGCAAAGTCCAGGCACAGGCAGGCGGAGGCCGGGGGATGGTATTTCCATTCCGAATGCTACCTAACTTTCTCCAGGAAGTCTTACATTGTTCAGTATTTTCATTAGTGTTTAAAATCATTTGTTTTAGTGCACAAGAAGAAATATTTCTGGCGGTGTGGCTCATCTGAACCGATAGCCCAGTGAGAAGACACGGATCAGTTTGATTCATCTGTATACCTTCTGCTAGAAGTGTCATCTTTCACAGTAATTGCTTTGAAAAGGGTTAAGCAAAAGAGGAAGGGAAAAGGGAACAGCTCCATTATGAAACAAAGGATGTATATTATATCAGGGTATACTATAGCTTTGGACTACAGAAATTGCATAAAAGGAACTCATATTTCCACTTCCCTAATAAACGGTTGATTTTGTTTTGTTTGTTTGTTTCCATTTATAATAGGAGAGGCAGATGTGTATATTGTGCTGGGCGTAAAACCATCTCTTGTTATTTCTCAGTAGGCAAGTGTTACCGCTCGGTATCACTGCTCTGCTTAGGGATGATTTTCAGCTAGAAATGTTGTGTCCAAACCTTCCAGCCCACGTAGCTAATAGTCAAAGGAACATGCACTCTGTGTGTCCCTTGTATAGCAGCAGTTCCTATCCTCCCCAGCATGTTTTCCCTTAAAACATACTGGTTTGCCTACAGCTGAGGAAATAGGCAGAAATAGTTACTCAAGTTTTACTGTTGTTTGTTTTGGGGGCAGGTTTCCTTGGTCTTTCTTTTTTTTTTTTTCTACTTTTTTTAATTTTAGCTGCCTGTCTATGACCGCAATGCGATGAGGCTGGCTATAGTCGTGCAGAATGTCCCATAAGTGGTCGATCTGTGGTTGATCCTTGGCCTGCAGGCTGTAGAATGTGTTTGAAATATGAGCTGTAGGAGTTTGGGTTAGACATACCTCAGGTGGTATGAGCTCTGCTCTTCATTTCGGCTACGAATGTTCATTTTGATTGCATTCAGAACTAGCTTCCTGTGAATCTGTTTGGGACCCATTTAATATCTGTTAACGAGTCAGCGTCCGGCAGCTGGACCATGCTGGGTCTGGCTGTTGTTTGGCTTCCCTCAGCCTGCATGTGCTGCTGCCCTGGCCTTTTCCCGAACTTCACAGGGATGCTTCTGTGTACAGGCATTTTCTCCTTCTGCTTCAGCAATGTTGTACATTGAAACTAATTTGACCAAGGTCTCCAGGATTAATTGTAATGAACTCTTTGCTTAATCATCCTTTTCCAGAGTTCTGTCTTTGTAGGTGTGCTCAGTTCGTCCTCCCCCTCTCCATGAGCACCAGACAGCTGAAGCAAACTGGTGGTACAAGCAAACTCCCAGAAAACTGGTTGCTCTTCAGTGGACAAAAGAAATACTCAGCTTTGTGACAAAGTAGTGACTGTCTGCATGGGTTTTGCTGTCTCTCTTTCCTTTTTGTGGCTGGATTTTCTACTGTGAATTACAGTCTCCTTTCACGCAGATGCATGGTTGGTTCCAGCACAGCTGGACCATTTCATTACAGGAGGATGCCCTTCCATTTCTCCCTACTGTCCAAACTTCCTCTAGCTCTGTAAGTCTCCTCACCTTGGCATCTCTCATGGTCTGTTTTCTGAGACCCACCGTTTCTGTGTAATCCATTTACTCTTTTGGAGACAATCTATTGCTGTGCATCCTTTTCATACATCAGATCTTGGCCAGACTGGATCAATCCTCTGGGCTTCACCTATCTCTCTACCCTGAAATGCTTCACTGAACTGAGATTTTCCAAAGTCTAATGTGTGTCTGTTGCCCCTTGTCCAGCTAACACGTCTCTCTGCCTCCCCCATCTTCCAAAAGACCAATACAGCAACTTTGTGGCCATAATCAGAGGCCATGAGCTTTCATAGGCAGAGACTCCAGACATGGTCATTTTTGGGATAGTGATTGAAATCAAATTAAAAAAATATGAACTCAGCCATGGAGACTTAATTTAAAAAGGTAATGAGCAGCCCTGCATGGCATTATGTGGTGTGCATCCTGTTCTGCTAGGACTTGATTCCACTAGGTGGATATCAGGTGATAGCAGGTTTAGCTTAAAGCATAGCTGTGGGCTGAGGGCTTAGCACATTAACGCAGTAGGGCTGTAAAAGATATGGCTTAACTGGCACATTATAGAGGAGTTCCGAAGAGTCACAGTGCACCCTCAATGGAGTATTGTTGTCTGCAATGGGAGACCCCATCCCTCCAGCCTCTCCAACCTCCTAAGCCAACAAGGTGACAGTTCCACACCCTTATATAGTAAGCATCACTCTCAAATCTTCCTGGGGCTTGTGTCTGCTGCTCTGGTTGAAAAACATTCTAATACTACTCCTTGCCAAGCTCGATTTGTTAATGTGTCGGGATGTTGTAGAAGGCTAAACAGCTTTAGCTAGCCAGAGAGGGATTCTGAGGCTTTGAGAATAGCAGCATGGATGTTTTGAGGCCAGTTCAATGCACACTTGCCCTCAGCTGCCTCTGTTTCTTACTACAACATATTTTCATTGCTGCTATCCCTCTTTCTTCTCCTCGTAGATCAACCCACTATCATACAGCAGTGTGGTACAGACATACAGGCTGCCGACCTACAGCTGTTACCCTAAGGATTCCTGGACATCTCTCTGCAAGAAGCTGTTCCTTGGAGAGCTAATCTACCCTTGGAAACACAAAGGAGAGAAGCAGGACTAAAGACAGCAAAAAACACAGCTTGAAAGACTTGGTCAGAAAAATGTATTGAATCCTAATGCTTTTGGACCAAAGGTATCTCGGAGCCAGCAGCTGCTGGATCCCTTTAATTAAATTTTGGTAACGTGGGAGGGGCTGAATTTTTAAGGCAAGTATTTTTAAGCATTATTTTTCAACTTTCCCCTTCCCCTGCACTGTGTTTGTGTAATGTGGTAATGATTATTTTTTAAGCAAAAGGTTAAACCCATCAGTGCCTCATGGAACCAGCATTTAGTGTAATCGAGGAAGTACCTCCCGAATGGTTTGGTGAAGTATATGTCATAGAATAGTTGGGGTTGGAAGGGACCTTGAGAGGTCATTTAGTCCAAATCCTTCTACGTAAGATCACAGGGCTGTCTTAAAACAGCCTTCGGGTGGCTCAAAGCCACAGTGCTGAGGTGCATTCTGCCAAAGGGTATTTTGCACCCTGGAATGCTTCAGCCTTCAAGCCAGCTGATCAAAACCAAGATGGAGGATCAGCTTGTAGAGTCATACACTGAAAACTGTACAGCGGGGTTATCTGGATTCATAGGACATTTATTCTTTTCCTTTTGGGTGATCTTGGACTCACCCCTGCTGCAGCACCAAAGGATGTGTTAAGCATAGAAACAGCAGGGCTGGAGGCCCAGAAATACAGACTGCTGTACATTTGTGCCTCTATGGTCTCACCTGCATTTTTTCAAAAGCAAATAGTGTTCTGGGGAGAGCTGAGCCCTGAGCTGACACCAGAACTGAAGCACAGAGCACACAGCCTCAGACACCGGGCTGCTTGGGTGTACGTGGCAGCAAGCCATGGTAGCTGAGAGCTCCGGGCTCTGCCAAGGCTCAGGGCTTCTTCACTTAGCTGCGGCGTACAGCAAATACCAGCTCTGGCTGGTGTGTCTGCCAGAGGACTGCAGCAGCCCGGCTGGTTATGCAGCTCGACCAGCTCAGGGAAGCGTGTGCTGCGCGCCCTTACAGGGTCAGTATATCCCCCTGTTTCTCAGGGCCCAGGTGAGAGCCTCGTCGTGTGGTGCCTCATCTTTTGCACTTTCTGATAGTCAAGGAGTTTTTAAAGTTATCTCAGATAAGAGGCATTTGAAGCCCCTTCTGCCCCTGAAACTGTAGACACGTTTCTCCTAGGAGAGTTTTCCTGCTTTGGATACTACCTCCACAGTGCAGCAGTGCTCAGCTTTTCGGTGTCCCGGTCTGATTGTGTGCTCCTTTTGATGCAAGTCTTCTATCCCCTGTCTTGGGGAGAGTGGCTCTGTGCACGAGAGTGTGATGTCCCACTGGGTACTTTGTTGTTGCGTAGACATTTACATACAGTCATTACCCAAAAGTACACTTTCTCCAGGTCTGCTCGCTCCTCTTGCCCCAGCTGAAGCAAGGATGTAGCATCGCTGTACCCTGCTGCCACTTTGCATTCCTGAAGTGACTGAATTAACTGGCAGGTGAGAGGTGTGCTGGGTCCTGCCCCCTTCTTCCTCTGTCTGTTCAATGAACCAAGGATGGAGAAGGAGGAGGAGGATGTGTTGTGGGCTGTGTTGCTCAGCCCTTCTCTGGTGGGCTGCCTGCATATTCCAGTGGGAGTAGGTGGAGGTAAGGCAAAGTGCCCTGGGCATTAGTAGCCTTCAGCCAGCACTTCTACTGGCAGGATATGATGTTTCCCAGCCTCGTGTTTCATCCATGTACTTCAAGATGTCACAGGAGAGAAGGGGTTATGGCCCCAGGAATGCAGGCTGCTCTAAGATGTCCATTGCCAGATATATTTGGTTATCTGTAGGTACTAAAAGCTTCTTGTGGTGCAGCCACTGCCTCTTCAGTCATAGCTGGATCAGAAGAAAATGAAGCTCTCTAGGCAGGTGCTTGGTCCAGACATTCCTTAACAGGCAAACACAGGAGCTGCTGACAAGGTCTTGCAGTTCTCTTAAGAACAGTGTGAAGGGAGAGAGTATTACACGGGCACTGCTACCAAAAGAAGATTTCCTATTATCTTAATCCAGGGAAAAAGAGCACATCATTGAAGAAAGCAAGATGGAAAAAGCTCCCCAGTGCCACCACTGCAGGCTCCAAGTGGAACATCCCTGACTGCAGAAGTTGGAGAGATAGGTCTTTGTTGTTCTTGAACGATCAGCGCTTAAAAATTGTTTACAAATACAGTATCCTCTTCTCTTGCAATATCGATGCCCAAGTAGTTCTCTCCACTCTAGCTGTGAATAACTCCAGGTTGTGATCCATTTAGTGGATGAATGGTCTGAATAATATTTCTCACTTTAGCTTAAGTCAGAGTCATGGAGACCCATCCTGACCTGGCACTCAGCAGAGCAGATTTACACTTTACCTCCCTCTCATGTTTCCACTGGAGCTACTAAATGATATTCCTCCTGCTCCCTCCCACGCCTGCATAGTTTGATTTACTAACTGCTGCAAGAAACTATTATTTTTGGTATTGTGAAAATAATGTTCCTAATATCCTGGCTTTTAAAATCTCTCTGTGAGACCAAACAGCTCACAATGATCCTACTCCTGGCTGTTGTTTGGGATCAAGTGACCTGAAAGCCCCCAAGACAGCACAGAGCCATGAAAACCAGCAAATGTGACTTGCTTATTGGGAACCTGCCAAACACGTTAGAAGTTCCAGCGTTGGGTCTGTTTACTAAAGGCTGATACTGACTACGGGGATGGAGAGATATCAAACTGAGAAAAAGCTTCTCCTCAAATCCTGAGTCTTCTGCAACACAGAGGACCTTCAGGAGTCCAGCTGGGAAATGACAGCCCTTATGGGTGCAGTTCTCCTATGTCTGGCAGAACTGGTGCCTGAGCTGCCTTACTGTGTCTCATACTTGGCGTTCTCTGTGCCCAGGATGGTATCTGAGCCTATGAGTTTCTTCTGCTGGATATTTGCCATGTCTCCTCTTCCTTTCCAGTCGCTGCTGTGAAATAGTCTTCCCCCACCCTTTTCCGATTCTGCGCAGACATTACAGCAACTTAGCAGACATCCTGCTCAGGAATGTTTGACCTTATGTCATCTTTCTAATTAGAAGTTGGGATCAGCATCATCTTCCACAGCAGTGCAGACTGGCCTAGCGCTGGCGTTTCCTCAGGGAAGAGACTGCTGGTAAGCTTATGGCTCTAATTTATCCTCAGATCCACATTATCCATATCATTCCTTGGATGAGAAGTAATTAGAGATTTCAGATCTCCTCTGGTTCCTACCACATGCCCCTTCTAGCAGGCAACAAGCAGTCTTTGCCAACCAATATTCAAAGACTGTAATCTTGCAGACTGTTTTTAATACTGCATTTCCTTATCATTATTTCTTCCACCTTGTGGTTCCCAGTGCTGGCACAACACTCGATGTGCCACTTTACGTAGGCATGTTTTTTGTGGAGGAAAACATGATTCACTGCATGCAAAACTCCCTCCCAGATAGAAATTCTGCCTTTGAGAAGTACTTTCCTAACCAGAATAGCATGTGATGGTGCTGAAAGGAAATCTCAGTAATTACACTGCACGGAAGGCTCTGGTTATGGTTTTGGGAGTTTTCCCTGATCCTGCAGCTGGACTGTGCCTTGTTCTGCTGGCACGTGTCAATATACAGGCCCACAGAAAGAGTGCTGCGTGTATGTAGAAACCATATGTTTACTTACACTGTTGGGAGTGTAAAGCAGGAAAATCTCCTGCGTTGTCATCATGCAGATAATGAGTTGCTTTCCTTCTGCCCTGTGCTGCCTGATCCTGCTGCCACAACACTTACCTTCTTGCTTAACTCAAGCCCTTACTGATTTACTCTTTGTGCTTAGACCTGCTGATTACACCATCACAGATTCACAAACTGGTGGAGGTTAGAAGGGGCCTCTCCAGCTCATCTGGTCCAATCCCCCTGCTCCAGCAGGGCCACCCAAAGCCAGCTGCCCAGGACCATGTCCAGATGGCTTTTGAATATCTCCAAGGATGGAGACTCCACCACCTCCCTGGACAACCTGTGCCAGTGCTTGTTCACCCTCACAGTAAAAAAGTGTTCCCTGCTCTTCAGACAGAATTTGATGTGTTTCAATTCATGCCCACTGCCTCTTGTCCTGTCATTGTCTTGTGCTGAGCTAGGAGACACCGTAACTCAAATCTTTTCAGCGAATTTGAAGATTTGCAGTCCCATGTTGTCTGTGTTCCTGAGCAGTCGTATTCAGGGACTATCCAGCAGTCCCTTTGCCTTTTGGGGTGTACCTAAGCCCTCTACGGTTAGGGAGGGTTGCCTGCTTGTGGAGTCAGATACCTGACCTGCTCTTTGCCAGCTTTTCTGGACCTGGTAGCAGAGAGCGTGCTTGCTCTCCAGCCAAACTCGCTGCCTGCATTGAGCATAGAGTGGAAACTCCAGGGAAGGTGAGGCAGAAACCCCTAAGCTGGCAGCGTTCAACTCTGCCTGGATCGGGGAGCTGCCTTTGTGCAGTGCATGAGGCTCTGCGTGGGTAATCGGTGGCAGCGCGCTGTGAATACAGATGGGACGTGTCTGGATCTCAGCTGATCCATCCACATGACGTGAGGCCACAGGGCTTACCAGCTATCTCAGGAGCTTCTGGCTTCTATTCCACTGTGCGGGACAAACATGTTCACAGCAATCCAAACCTTGTGTGGGCAGCTGATCTGCCTTTCCGGGAGAGAAGAGTGTGCCCATCGCCTCTGCATCTGGCTTACCATTTTGCGTTGGGAGTGGAACAGCTGCTTGCAAGAGTCTGTCCCCTTCAACGCTCAGCTGGCAACCTCACCTCCAGTTCTTATCCACATCTGGACTTGGACCTCAAACCGAGAGTGCTCAAACTCCCATTTACTGTCTCAGGAAGCTGACTAGGAGGAGGGTACATGCAATTATGAATGCTGCAGGTGACAGAATGTAAAGCCTTTATTTCCAGGTGGGTGATGAGGCTCAGGAGCAGGTGGCAGTGCTGGGTGGCTGCTTGCCCGAGGAGGCACCAGAGCCAGGGCCCCGCTCTGCACTCACTGGGGGTGGACATCTCCCATCTGCACTGATACTTAAGAAGGATCTGGCACTGGGGAAATTCATGAGACCTTGACAAGTATTGTAGTGAATCCTCCTACTTCTAATGTTTTCAGTTGTTAAATAAAGTATTAAAAAGAGTGCTGAAACATTT